AAACATTATGGTGTAAGTACTAAGGCCTCAGTCTCTTAGGGAAAGAATGTAAAACCGTGGGGTCCAAAATCTTCGTTGCCCAACAACCTTCAGAAGATATTCGAATAGTGGGAGGTATTCGTGTGCTGCGTTTTCCCTCGAAACGTGCAGCTATAAAGACCCTTTCTAAATATTCTGGTGCTAAGTGCTAAGGACTCTAATCCTCTGAACGAGAATGTCGAATCGGGGTTTCTGGGAGATATGGAATCCCCCCCCCCCTCCCAAGAAAAGACCGAATCAATCTTCATTGGTCCGTTCGGCCCTAAAGACTCTTCTTAGGGAATAATGTAGAACGGAGAGGCCTGGGGTGTAGGAAAAGAGTCGAATCGATCTTCATTGCCCTAAAACTGTCATAATATGTTCGTATACTGGAGGGTATTCCATGCCCACCAGACATACCCCCAGACCCCAAGTGTAAGCGCTAAGGGTTGTAAACCTCTTAGACTTCTTTGAGAATAATGTGGAACCGAGGGGCCTGGGAGGTGTAGATACCCGAGACCGAATGTTCATCACCCTACACCCTCCATAAGGTATTCTTATACTGGGGGGTGTTCCAAACCCCCCGGTGCTGCGTTCTCTCTCGAAACGTGCAGTTATGAAGACCCTGCCCAAACATTATGGTGTAAGTGCCGAGGACTAAATCTCTTAGGAAAGAATGTAGAACCAGGGGTGTGGGGGGTATAAGATACTCCGAGAAAAGTACCAAATCAATCTTCATTCTCCTACATACTTCAGAATATTCTTCTGTATACGGGGGAGGGGGGGGGGGGTTATAATAGCCCCAGGCCCCCGGTGCTGCGTTCTCCATCGAAACGTGTAGCTATAGACTCTTACCAAACAGTATGGTGAAAACGATAAGGAGTCTGAAGGGTATGAAATACTCCCCAATTGTCATTTGTATACTGGGGGGTAGAATGTAGGTGTAGAACATGTGACTCTGGCGGAAAAACAAAGGGACAAGGATGGCTGGGACACGTGCAAGAAAAAGAAGGCCAAGAATTAGATGAAAGCAAAAAGTTTAACAAGACCACAACAGAACTAGGGATACTTAGATAGAAATAAGAATGGAATAGCAGGAACAAATGAAGAAAGATATCCAATAAACCAATGAGGCTTCTAGGTCTAGGGTGCTAATATCCATCAATCCACAAACATTTTTTTATTCTGAAAAAGAACTACTGAAATGCTTCCTCGGTCTTTTTAGCACATTTTTTAAAGAATTAATGCTAATGTTTGCGTTTTGTCCGTCCGTCCGGACTAAACTACTACTAAACTGATTTTAAGCCCAGTCCAGTAAATCCCCTTGAAAGATAGTCAACCTCAATCCCGAATGATTTGCAATGATTAGTTTGGTCTAAAAAATGAAAGGAACTGGAAGAACTTTTCATACATTTTGACTTCTAGGAAGACTATTAGACTCCTTAAGACTCCTTGAGACTCCTTAAGGCTCCTTAGACTCCTTAAGACTCTTTAAAACTCCTTAAGACTCCTCAAGATTCCTTAAAATTCCTCAAGATTCGATAAGATTCTTTAAAATTCTTTAAGATTCTTTAAGATTTTTTAAGATTCTTTAAGATTATTTAAGATTCTATAAGATTCGTTAAAATTCTTCAAGATTCTTTGACTCTTTAAAATTGATGAACGTTCTCAAAGTTACTTTTAAGGGCTGTTACAGAGTTAAACACATAAAATGTCTATTTTCCCCCAAAACGTGCGGCTATAAAGGCTCCTCCCAAACATTATGATGTAAGTCCTAAGACTCAACCTCTTAGGGAAGAACGTAAAACCGTGGGGTCCAAATCAATCTTGATTGCCCTACAACCTTCAGAAGATATGCGAATACTGGGAAGTGTTCCGTACCTTGGTGTAACTCAGACCTTGAAAAAAAGTTAATAGGGAGACGAGCAGGCACTTGTGAACTAAGCTGCCTGCGGACTGGGAAGATCTCAAGATCGTTCAGCGCTGGTATAAGGACCATATTTTAAGGTCTAACCGAGGATCATGGAGGACCTTATGTGCTAGCAAAGAGGGTCTTCCTGAAGTTCAAACACTTCGTAAGATCCTTTTGAAAGATCCGGGGGAAAAAGTGAGTACACTGAGGCAGATATGTTTACTACTCACACATCTCTCCTGAAATCACGCTTTCCACGCTCTGGGGACTATCTTGGACTCGCCAAAAAGGAGTTATCTGGGTCGGTGTAAGGACTACCGACTGGAGAGTAGCTGCCCGGATGGAGTTTCTCATTATGTCCTCAATCGTGACGACGGAGATGAGCTTCTTGGTTACCACTGCTGGGTGCCTGGTGCTCCTCCGCACTCTGAACAAGGACGGAACGTATACACAGTGGAAAGTTTAAATCCCCTTGAAAGATAGTCAATCTCAAACCCGAATGATTTGCAATGTTTGGTTTGATCTAAAAAATGAAAGGAATTGCTAGCTGACGAAGAGGATGTGGGTTGAGATAAAGTTTTTGATTCTAAAATCCATCGTCTTCCATCGATTGGAAGAGCTTTTCATACATTTTGACTTCTAGAAAGCTATTAGACTCCTTAAAACTACTTAAGACTCTTTAAAACTCTTTAAGACTCCTCAAGTTTCCTCAAAATTCCTTAAGATTCCTTAAGATTCTTTAAAATTCTTTAAGATTCTTTAAGATTCTATAAGATTCTTTAAAATTCTTTAAGATTCTCTGATTCTTTAAGATTGATGAACGTTCTCAAAGTTACCAATGATCTGTTCTCAAAGGAAAGAATCTCAAGAAGTATAAAAGCTTCTGGAAGGCTCTGTTTGAGGGCCTTTAAAGCACTTGGCTTTTAAAGACTGTTACAGAGTTAAACACACAGAAAATGTTTATTTTCCCCCAAAACCTGCACCTACAAAGGCTCATTCCAAACATTATGGTGTAAGTACTAAGGACTCAACCCCTTAGGGAAAGAATGTAAAACCGTAAGGTCCAAAATCTTCGTTGCCCAACAACCTTCAAAAGATATTCGAATAGTGGGAGGTATTCCTGTGCTGCGTTTTCCCTCGAAACGTGCAGCTATAAAGACCCTTTATAAATATTCTGGTATAAGTGCTAAGGACTCTAATCCTCTGAACGAGAATGTCGAATCGGGGTTTCTGGGAGATATGGAACCCCCCCCCCCCCCCAAGAAAAGACCGAATCAATCTTCATTGGTCCGTTCGGCCCTAAAGACTCTTCTTAGGGAAATAATGTAGAACGGAGAGGCCTGGGGTGTAGGAAAAGAGTCGAATCGATCTTCATTGCCCTAAAACTGTCATAATATGTTCGTATACTGGAGGGTATTCCATGCCCACCAGACATACCCCCAGACCCCAAGTGTAAGCGCTAAGGGTTGTAAACCTCTTAGACTTCTTTGAGAATAATGTGGAACCGAGGGGCCTGGGAGGTGTAGATACCCGAGACCGAATGTTCATCACCCTACACCCTCCATAAGGTATTCTTATACTGGGGGGTGTTCCAAACCCCCCGGTGCTGCGTTCTCTCTCGAAACGTGCAGCTATGAAGACCCTGCCCAAACATTATGGTGTAAGTGCCGAGGACTAAATCTCTTAGGAAAGAATGTAGAACCAGGGGCGGGGGTGGGGGGGGGGGTATAAGGTACTCCAGGGAAAGTACCAAATCAATCTTCATTCTCCTACAACCTTCAGAATATTCGTCTGTATTAATACTGGGATACTGGGGGCGGGGGTTATAATAGCCCCAGACCCCCCGATGCTGCGTTCTTCCTCGAAACGTGTAGCTATAGACTCTTACCAAACAGTATGGTGTAAGCAATAAGGAGTTTGAAGGGTATGAAATACCCCCCCAATTGTCATGTGTATACTGGGGGGTAGAATGTAGGTGTAGAACATGTGAGTCTGGCGGGAAAACAAAGGGACAAGGACGGCTTGGACACGTGCCAATAATTAGATGAAAGCAAAAAGTTTAACAAGACCACAACAGAACTAGGGGTACTTAGATAGAAATAAGAAGGGAATAACAGAAACAAATGGAAAAGGATAAGCAATAATCTAATGAGGCTTCTAGGTCTAGGGTGTTACTATCCATCAATCCACAAACATTTTTTTTATTCTGAAAAAGAACTACTGAAATGCTTCCACGCCCTTTTTAGCACATTTTTTAAAGAATTAATGCTAATGTTTGCGTTTTGCCCGTCCGGACCCACTTCTGCCGTTTCGAAGTACTTGTAGGGTAGGTAGCCTATACCTTGAAGTGTGTGGGGGGGGGGGGGCACACACGTTCTACCCTTCATGGTATTGTAATGAAAGGTCTCACCGGAACACATTGGTTTGTACAAACTATAACTTTCCCGCGCAACTCATTTTCGAGATCAGCGGGTGATGGGCCTGAAGGGGGGGGGGGGCTAGAAATAAATGTTATCTTTCCTGATATTCTAATTAAAGGTTTCAACAACAGGAACCATTTTCTATCAACTAACGCCCTTCTTTCTGACCCCTGATCAAATGAGGGGATTGGAGGGGGGGGGGTTGAACTAGTTTTATCCTTCATGGTACTCTAATGGAAGGTCTCAACGAAAAGAATTAATTTATGCCAGCCATAGTCCTCCTCATCGTCCCCTTGTAGTTATCGGATATATTCCCTTATATCTCCGGAATGGATACTGATTACAAATATATAATATTAAATTCATTCTTTAATGACTTTTGCACTATTCATTTACTACATATTTAGTCAATTACACCAATTCCCTAATGAAAGCACTAAGACAACGTTAAAATTACAATAGAAGGTGCTTCTAATACAAATTAGGCAAACAAGTTCAGAAGTTTCTCGAAACTTTGGAGTTCTTGCACTGCTACGATTGTGAATTGGAGTAGAATAATTAATCAGTTCACCATCATGTTTTTGAGGAGTTTATAGTAAATAATAAGAGGAGGGTTGTAGGGCAGCGGTAAAAATGCAAAGGTCACTCACCTGTCCGTTTTGTATAGACGTAAACGTCCTCTGATCGGTCTTCCTTACCATAACAATCCTACTGGAACCATCATGGCCGTGTATATTTTTGCCCAAACGATGCAGGTCCGTCAGCGAGGCGGGAAATTCGGGTCTCCTTCTGTACAAAGACATATTACTAGGATAGTCTCTCATTCTGGCACAAGTCACAATATAAAAATGTATGAGCGAGTAAATTTAAGAGTCTCTTAATTTATAAATTGTTGAACAGGTTGTGTGCGATACCGGCACGTAATGTGCACGAAGTGCAAACAAAACACGTTGCCTTTCAAATCTTCGTTCCATTTTGGCGACCATGTGTGACAAATGGAGAGAATATTATTCGTTAACCTGTCCAACCGTGATTGTTCCTCTACATTTCATTATTGTTGATCGGTCGATCTTGAGGGACCCATCTCGATTTTGTTGGAACAAGCGTACGCACCTTATGAGAAATTTGAATTTGCGGCCTTCTCATTGACAATTTGCAGGTTAATTAGGCCAGAACTGAAATACAACGCGGGCATAATGAAGTTAATATCGTTTTTAAGGACGATAAGTATTACTTGAACCAGTGAAAGCTGGATGCTGACTTTAATTACTTCAAACAAATCTCATTTTTGGATTCGCTTCAAATTTTCCCAACCAAATTGTCCACCTTGACCATTTCGACCAATGAATCTCCCATGGCAATTTTACTTACAATTTTGAGTGATATCTTCTTTGTTTCAGAACCCAAGCACGATCACGCTACCGCACCTTATTTGGCAAGCGGTTGCCTTCCCTTTTTCCACCATAGCTTTATCGGTCTTGCGATAGCTTTAATCCTGATCAAACAATTAGCAATAGCGATAACGAAAAAACCCTAATTAGACTTTTCCTGTCTGTCGCAAGGCACTGAAACATTCCGTTAGTATTACGGTACCGAGCTATTGATCATAAGATAAACAATTTAATATTATTTGAAATTGCGTTAGGTAGGTACAACGTTTTTAAGTACTTACTAACAAAATTTAGGAGCGTAACCATAGATTGTGGTCATTTTCTGGTTCCGTATATACTTTGAACGTTATTACGTTTACTGTAAGTGAAATAGTTAAAATTTGTATGTTCAAAGTTCGGTTTTCGAAAATGGCCCCCAAAGCGGATGTAAACAAGTATAAATTGTGCAGAACTCTTGTGCAGATAAAGCGCATTTTTTTAAACGAAATAGCTTTTGTTTTGACAACACCAATCGCCTTTTGTGAGTACCCTCTTCCGACAATCCGCTCTTGAGGTATAAGGAAATATACCCGATCACGATAAGAGGTCGAGGAGGAGAGGTATGGTTGGTAGAAATTAATTCCTTTCGTTGAGACCTTTCATTAGAGTACCATGAAGGATAAAACTAGCCCCCCCCCTTTCCACCCCGTACTTTGATAGGAGGCCAGAAAGAAGGCCCCATCGCTCACTGATCTCGAAAAATAGTCGCACGGAAAAATTATAGTTTGTACAAACCAATTTATTTCGATGAGACCTTTCATTAGAATACCATGAAGGGCAGAACATGTGTTTAGTCCCCCCCTCCTATCCATTTTCTAAAGTTTAACTTGGCACCACTAAAGGCATGCGTATGCAAAATCTGAGACCAATTGGTTGTCGTATGTAAAAGTTATGCACGTTTTACTTTCCAAAGGGGGGGGGGGGGCGCCCTGAAGTACGGTGAACCCGGAGCGCACTTGAAGATTTTATGAATCATGCAAGAAAATGAACATTGAATCTTTGTTTCCTGGAGGATATTCCCCTCCCCCCCTCTTCGGAATGCTCTTTGGGAAATGGGGATTCGGTTGTCCTTTATGAGAAAGTATCCAGAGGGCTGCATGTTTTGAGAAAGGTAAAAGCACTGGGGTTGGGAACGCTAGATTCGGTTGTCCTTTATGAAAAAACTATAACCGACTCCTTAGGGATGAACGTTTTCCGTTTATTCCATAGCCCCCAGACTCCTCGGTTGAGATGCGGCGTTTAGAGGAAGAATGAAAAACGGGGGGGGGGGGGGGAGTCTGAAAGTGTGGAATGGTCCCACCCCGCTTTAGGAGAGATTCAATACCCACTCACAGTCGGGTATACTAAGGGGTCTGGAGGTTTGGAAACCACCCACCACAGTTGAAGGTTTTATAATACATGGAAGCGAATAAACATTGAACTTTTGATTCCTGGCGGAGGGGGGGATTCAATACCCGTTCACAGTCGGGTATACTAACCCCCCACCACACCGGAAGAGGTTTTATGATACATGGAAGCGAATAAACATTGAACTTTTGTTTCCGGGGGGAGGGGGGGGAATTCAATACCCACTCACAGTCGGGTATACTAAGGAGTCTGGAGGTTTGAAAACCCCCCACCACAGTGGAAGGTTTTATGATACATGGAAGCGAATAATCATTGAACTTTTGTTTCCTGGGGGGGGGGATTCCATACCCACTCACAGTCGGGTATACTAAGGAGTCTGGAGGTTTGAAAACGCCCCACCACAGTGCCACAGTGGAAGGTTTTATATTACATGGAAGCGAATAAACATTGAACGTTTGTCTCCTGGGGGGAGGGGGGTATTCCATACTCACACACAGTCGGGTGTACTAAGGGGTCTGGAAGTTTGGAAACCCCCCACCGCAGGCGAAGATTTGATGATACATGGAAGCGAATAAACATTGAACTTTTGTTTCCGGGGTGAGGGGGAATGGATCCTTCGGTTGAGATGCTGTTTCCTGATGGGCATTCCTTAACCTCCGGAACCCACGGTTGGGATTCTCCTTAGGAAAAGCAGATTCGGTTGTCCTTTATGAGAAACTATGAGTCCTTAGGGATGAACGTTTTGAGGGAGAATGCTACACCGAGGAATCTGGGGAGTCTCCCCACACCGCACCCGAAGATTTTATGATACATTGAAGGGATTAATGTTGAACCTTTGTTTTCTGAGCCCAAACCCCCAATTGTGACGCTCCTTAAGTGTACCGCCAGCCCACATCAACATTGTTTATACGTGCAAGGAACTGATCATCTAATCTTTGTTTCCTTGTGGGAGAGGGGGGTGGTATTCTGTACGCTTCAGACGTCTCGGTTGGGATGCTCCTTAGCAATGGGAGATTGGTTGTCCCTTATGGGGAGGTATAACACAGGCCACAGAGCTGCACGTTTTGAGGAAGAATGCAGCACTGGGGGATTCTGAATAGCTCGCAGCGCACCCGAAGATTTTGTGATACGTACAAAGCAATGCGATCTTTGTTTCCTGGGAGGGGGGGGGGTACTCCATACTCCCTGACCTCCTGTTGGGATTGGTCTCAAAAGGAAAGGGAGGCCCCATTGTCCCATATGAGAAAGTATAACAGAGTCGATAGGGCTGAACGTTTTGAGCAAGAACGTTGAACCGGGGGGTCTGGGGAGTATGGAATACTCCCCCCCCCCCCAGCGTGCCCGAAGATTTTATGATACGTGCAAAAAAATGAACATCGAATCTTCGTTCCAACTCACTCAGATCCCACGGTAGGGATTGAGCCCAAAAGGAAAGGGAGATTCGTCCATGTAAAGAAAAAAAAAGGTAAGGCTTAGATTATCGGTATTTATTTGCAGGGAGGCGAGCAGTGCAAGACATTACGAATCAGGTCCGCAGGTGTCGTTAGCTGATATTCTAAAATACGAATCGACTGAAGATAGGCCGCCTTAGAGAAATACAAAGACAATATGGATTTTACATTACATTGTTTGCTAGTATAAAGTTAATTATCTGGCCAGTAAGGGTATTTTTGTAATTCCTTTTGGAGCACGTGTAATTGTTTTCACTATTTAACCATAATAAATGTATTCAGTTTGAAACAATTTCTTTGAATTTTTATCACGTTAATATCTCTTTCAAATCAGAAGGCACGCTATGTTAAATGGGTGATCTGTCCAGATATGCTGGAACGTCAAACATCTGAAAAATTCGCCAATAAATTTGAGTTAATTTAATAGAATGTAATTTCTAAGTCTCCCTGAGCTAGCCTGGAAGTAAAATAAGAACGGTAGGTCTGAAGGCAGAGAAGAAGAAATTTTCAAGATAAATTTAATAGAAAGAACCACGAATCCGAAGTCTTTATCAGCAAATGTAACTTCTATTTAAAAAAGTAGGAGAAATTGACGCACGTGTTGATAAAAGCCGCGACAAAAGGAATAATGAACAGAATCGAACATTTCAATTAAGAATTATAGGGTTGGAACATTAAAAAAATCGTTCTTTCTATTCCGGGTAATTAATTAATTTGGGCGCCCAACGTGGGGCCGAAAAAGTCGTAATTCCAGGCTAAATGATGGTTAATGCTCAAATTTGTTTACAAGTTCATTGAAAACGGTTAACAATTTGCAATCGAATACATAACTCGCAAGATCACAATCAGTAGATATTGACCTCATTATGTGTTTGTTTTTCTTCGTTTCTGCAGTTATTCAAACGACTGAAAACATATATCTAGACTTTGGGTGATTTCATCTGCGCATTTTCCTTCGGTGAAAAAAAAAGTTACGCAGGTACTCGAGCAACGAGCGAGGCAATTATCCAAACGAGGACCCATATATTGCAGTAATATGAGTGACAAGAAGAACAGTAAAAAATAAGTACAATTACCTTTGCTCGTTTTTTAAGATCATCGAGTGAACTTATCACTACTAAAATACATACACAACTGCTATAAATAGAATAAAAAAAAAGTTAATATAAACATAACTAATGCGCGACGTGATAAGAAATTTAAATCCATTTTCTATTTAGCTTACAATGAAGGTCAATGGCGAGTTTGAAAAAGGCAAACTTTTGCCACGCAAAAGGAGTTTTGGGTTAAAACGAATTTTGAATGTTTAATTTGCGATAATTTCAGCCCTGACGTGGGGAAAAGTCGTACCTAGCCGGTTTCATCGAGGACATGTCTCCAGTTGATATTGATCGTATTTGGGATGCGACACCGCGGCTGCACATTTTGCACTCGAGGAGCTTGCGAAATTTCGTATTTCAATCACACGCGCGTACTACCAAAACACACGGGGGTTGAATTTCAGCCGCTTTCGGCGAGCGCTACCCCCTTTTGTTTTTGAGACATGCGCCTTTGATTTGCGAGCGCCGATTTTTTTACGCGGAACGTTTGCATTTGTGCGCCAATTAAAGTCACGTTGCTCGTGGCATTTGGCAGGTTTCGGCTTTTCCACAAGCCATTAAAGCGTTTAGGGTCTTAGTCGGTAGACGCAATTCATTTTTATGATTGATCGTTCCGCTCCCTAATGACAGCTTAACTTAAAAGGCCTCCCATTTATTACGTTCGTAAACGGTGTATCTTTTCTTGTAAATAAATAGCTGCGATTGAGTGAGAAAGTAGCACGCGATCGGGTGGAAATAAATCATTTAGGTACACCATTAATTCCGTGGTTGACACCGAAGACATACCCCCTTCAAGTTCCAAAATTTCTCGGGAAAACAATTTTTCTTATTAATTTTGATGCGCAGAATCCAAAACAATGCGTACTTTTTCGATTAGACTTCTCAATCAAAAGTTACAGACTAGAACCAATTTCGAAAAAAAATTCAAAGGGCTGTAACTTTTGAACTAGTAGCCCAATCTTGGAACTGTTTGAAATTATGGATTCTACAGGCCACATTCTATAAGAAAATTTTTTTCCGGATCGATCTGAGACAATTTTTTTTTCTGGGCTCAAAAAAAGGCAGTGTATAACCTTCCTTTTTTACCAAAAATCGACTGCACCAAAATTTCTCGGGAAAACACTTTTTCTTATTAATTTTGGTGCGTAGAATCCAAAACAATTCGTACTTTTTCGATTAGACTTCTCAATCAAAAGTTACAGACTAGAAACCAATTTCGAAAAAAAATTCAAAGGGCTGTAACTTTTGAACTAGTAGCCCAATCTTGGAACTGTTTGAAATTATGGATTCTACAGGCCACATTCTATAAGAAAATTTTGTTTCCGGATCGATCTGAGACAATTTTTTTTTCGGGGCTCAAAAAAAGGCAGTGTATAACCTTCCTTTTTTACCAAAAATCGACTGCACCAAAATTTCTCGGGAAAACACTTTTTCTTATTAATTTTGGTGCGTAGAATCCAAAACAATTCGTACTTTTTCGATTAGACTTCTCAATCAAAAGTTATAGACTAGAAACCAATTTCGAAAAAAATTCAAAGGGCTGTAACTTTTGAACTAGTAGCCCAATCTTGGAACTGTTTGAAATTATGGATTCTACAGGCCACATTCTATAAGAAAATTTTTTTCCGGATCGATCTGAGACAATTTTTTTTTAGGGGCTCAAAAAAAGGCAGTGTATAACCTTCCTTTTTTACCAAAAATCGACTACACCAAAATTTCTCGGGAAAACACTTTCTTATTAATTTTGGTGCGTAGAATCCAAAACAATTCGTACTTTTTCGATTAGACTTCTCAATCAAAAGTTACAGACTAGAAACCAATTTCGAAAGAAAATTCAAAGGGCTGTAACTTTTGAACTAGTAGCCCAATCTTGGAACTGTTTGAAATTATGGATTCTACAGGCCACATTCTATAAGAAAATTTTTTTCCGGATCGATCTGAGACAATTTTTTTTCGGGGCTCAAAAAAAGGCAGTGTATAACCTTCCTTTTTTACCAAAAATCGACTGCACCAAAATTTCTCGGGAAAACACTTTTTCTTATTAATTTTGGTGCGTAGAATCCAAAACAATTCGTACTTTTTCGATTAGACTTCTCAATCAAAAGTTACAGACTAGAAACCAATTTCGAAAAAAAATTCAAAGGGCTGTAACTTTTGAACTAGTAGCCCAATCTTGGAACTGTTTGAAATTATGGATTCTACAGGCCACATTCTATAAGAAAATTTTGTTTCCGGATCGATCTGAGACAATTTTTTTTTTCGGGGCTCAAAAAAAGGCAGTGTATAACCTTCCTTTTTTACCAAAAATCGACTGCACCAAAATTTCTCGGAAAAACACTTTTTCTTATTAATTTTGGTGCGTAGAATCCAAAACGATTCATACTTTTTCGATTAGACTTCTCAATCAAAGGTTATGGACAAAAAACCTCTTACATATTATGCAGTCAATTTAACTTCCAATTATAGCCTCCATATGAGAGAAGTGTGTCGATTCCATAACGAAGACACGTCAGAAACAATTACGGATACGTGTGTTTCCAAATTGTAGTCTTTAATTAAAAGTCGACAAGTGGAGAAACAATTAGAACCAGGTTATTGTGCATTGAGCTAAAGTTCTAATTTACTGAAAGAAATGGCGGGTGTGTCTCTAATTTGTAAGAACCTACAGCTGGAGATTATCTCGGAAAATTACCAACATACTAGGGTGTCCATAAAACCGTGACTGCAATAGCCATCCAACTCGATCTGGCAAACTAAAATGCTGCCACCATTTGGTGACCCCTAAAAATTACATTATGCTACTGTGTCATAATAATATGCGTAACCTAATAGTGTTTTTGATGAGCTATAAATATTGTTGATTGCTGTCGTAAACGGAATTCTGGTAAATCGTTCATTGCGTGTGTAATTAATCGAAAGGTTAAAAAACTAATAACGGCGCGTAGCACATTACCTTAGAAGACACATCTTATTGTCACTTTTTCACCAATCCCTGCTCCGTTGTGAAATACAATCCCACAATCCTCGTAAATACATTCCTGAGAGGTCACCACAGAGCTAAACTAGTTCAGACGCCCATGACTACCAAAATATCCCAGGATTTTCACATCTAGGTTAGCTATCGCTACAGGATGGCAAATATTCGCTCTTAGTTTCCAAGTGTTATGCTACGCGTTACTTAATAGATCTACTTGCCAATTATTACATTTTTAGATTCAATTAATCAGTGGTAAATGAAAAGAAATTGCCTTGCAGAACTGTAACATTAGAATTTACTCATCAATGACCCATGACTTGCACAAAGTTTAGTTTCCCAAAGAGATTTAAAAGTCTTTAAGATATTCTGAAAGTCCTCAATAAACTTATATAGCCGTCAAGAGCAGCATTGAATCTTTTAAAACTGTTAAAAATCTTTATTAGTTCTTAAGGGTTTGTAAAGATCTTTAAAAACCATTAAATCTTTAGATCTTTGGGAATGTGTGAGATCCATAATGAGTCTTCAATTGTCTTTCTTCTACAGCTCGCCCTGTAGCCTTTAAAACGTTTAATAAGTCATTAAGAGTGCTTAAGAGTTAATCTTCAAGGGTATTCATAACAAGTAACAGTAACCCTTACACGTAGGTAAAGTTAGGATTTTTTGAAAGGTTAGAGAAGTTCACAAGGTCGAATTTTTCAATAAATTATATTTTCTAGCACCTGGATTTTATTCTGTTATCTTAATTAGAGTGCTACGTAATTAAAATTGCGAATTCGGCACGAGGTCATCTATGGATTGTGTGAAATGAAACGTGACATATTTTATTATAAATGTGGGATTAGTTTATTACTCTTAGCTCTCATTTAATTAGGTCATAAACGAAAAAAAAACGAATCAGTTATTAAAGATGCCAGCTGACGTTAATTAGTAGCTATTTTCTAGGCATCAATTAATTCAGTAAGAATAGGAATGGGTTGACCAGAGATGTGACGAGAGGATAGGTAACACAGCTTACGTACGCATGGCGTGCAATTTACATAGCTGTAATTAGGAAGGCTCATTAGTGAAGCGGCTGAGAGGGACGAATGCCTCCTACCTGTTGAGACGGTCAAGTCCCCAACGCGGCCGGGGATGAGTCTAGGGAGTAAAAAGAAGAAAGAAGCAAAAGAGGAAGAGTGGTTCGAAGTGTTTAGATGGAGCAAGAAAGTTATAAGATCAACGGGGCAAAGGAAAGCAGAATCGTAGACAAAGGAGAGAGAAAAGCGGAATAAAAAAAAGCAGAAGGGTGGGGAGGAGAAAAGAATAATGTGGAGGAAGTCAAGGGGGAACCAAGAGGGGCCGCTAAAGAGACAATGATACAAATAGATCAAATGAACGAGAAGATGATGGAGGAAATAGGAGGATTATGGGAAAAAATTAAAAGAAGGGAAAAGAAATGGAGTAAAAAAAGAACTTATGAGAAGATTAGAAAAATTGAAGAAGAAAATGATAGAAAAAAAAGAGAAGATATAGAGATAACATAACGGTAAACAGAGTAGTGATGAAAAGAAAACCTACAAGTAGAAGCTAATGTAAAAGGGGCGAGGTAAGGGGAAATAAAGCATTAATAGCGGAACTAACATGGGAAAAGAAGAGGGAGGTTATGGAGGGAAAGGGAAAGCGGGAGTTTGTAAGAGGATATAATGTCGTGGGGATGGTAGAATCAGGGGTAGAACACATGAATTGGGAAAAACACACACATAAAGTTCAAAGTGCTGCAACTTTTGATCTAGTAGTCCAATCTTGGAACTGTTTGAAATTATCGATTCTACGGGCCAAACTCTATAAAAAAACGTTTTTTCACGGTGGATTTCAGACAATTTTTTTTCCGGCCTCAAAAAAAGGCAGTGTTATACCTTCCTTTTTTTCCAAAAATCGACTGCTCCAAAATTTCTCGGGAAAACACTTTTTCTCATTAATTTTGGTGCGTAGAATCCAAAACGATTCGTACTTTTTCGATCAGACGTCTCAATCAAAAGTTATGGACCAAATACAAATTTCGAAAATATATATATATATACACATAAAGTTCAAAGGGCTGTAACTTTTGATCTAGTAGTCCAATCTTGGAACTGTTTGAAATTATCGATTCTACGGTCCAAACTCTATAAAAAAATGTTTTTTCCCGGTGGATTTCAGACAATTTTTTTTTCCGGCCTCAAAAAAAGGCAGTTATTACCTTCCTTTTTTACCAAAAATCGACTGCTTCAAAATTTCTCGGGAAAACACTTTTTCTCATTAATTTTGGTGCGTAGAATCCAAAACGTTTCGTACTTTTTCGATCAGACCTCTCAATCAAAAGTTATGGACTAAATACAAATTTCGACAATATATACACATATATATATAATATTTGCGAAGAGGGACTATATAGAGGGAGA